CAGGCGGGACCGGGTGAGGGCATTTTGGATTATGATGTTCTCACTTGGCCTATGGAGTGGGCTAAGAGGGGGACGCTACACGCATCTCCCGTTGCAAATTCTGAAAACTTTCTTTCTAACCAATGGTAGGGACACGATCTTGCCTACGTGTTACGCAACAGAAAGTTATCTTAATGGGTGTCTGCTATAACCGACAGCATGTGTTTCCTCCTATTTCTAAAGAGATTTTGTTACTTCTATCTTATATAAAAAAAAAAAAAACATTTTATTTCCTAATTGCTCATTTAGTCAAGTGATATTTACTGATATTGACTATATCCCTTTTCTACTGATCTATTTGGTCTTCTACTAGACATGCACTAATTATTCTACAGACTAATAAGAGGAACTTCTAAAGAACTTGATTAACATTTTCCAAGCAGTCCACTTGGTTTAACAAATGGATATACATATATTTGTCCTTTATGATAAATATATGATGACAAATTGGTGTTATATATGAATGGATTACAGCTCTGAAATACCCAGATAAGAGATAATTGTTGTCTGTCGCAATCAGCTAACGTAAGCAACTTTGTTAAAGGCTAATTTATGTTAATAAGCATTGAATAACATAACTGCGCATCAATTATAAACTAATCGATGCTGGAACATCTGCCAAAGGTTTACTCGGTAAGTATTGCAGCAACGTAGCCCCTAAAATATGTTAATAAGCACGGCATCTACGGGGGACGAATTCATTTTCATTTGCTAAAAGAATTTTGTGAAAGATTTGCTCCTCAGCTTTCTACTTCTCGTTCGAAAACATATAAAAAAATAGTAATCTTGAAAATATCAGTCTGACAAATGAGAATTAGGATCACTGCTCATTTATTTATCTTTAATTTATCTTTTAATTCACATAATTTCTCGTGGCTTCCGATTTCCTCATCAATCGGGTCCACCAGTCATGATATTGATATAAGCACATGAAGTCTTCCGCTTGTTGTAATCAAAAGTCCATGAATTTATACTGTTGAAATACTCCCATCTGCGAAGAATATCTGATCTTTTTAACATGTTCTAATATAATATGTGTCAAGCAAAATAAAACGATTCGTGCTCAGAGATGCACAGAATGTATGCAAGGAAATATAATATGAATATGAATAATTAATGTAATTTTCTTGATCAAATTGCATCGGTAACGCTTCAGTTCCATTACTTGCTTCATGAAGTAATTAATTCTCGTTTCATTTTTTTTTTTTTTTTTCTACATACGTTACACAGGTTTAAAGTTCGCGGTTAAATAGAGCTGCAGCTTGAGGTAAATAGAAGAAGCCGATTTGATTTGCTATAGCGAAGAGATAGAGCGCAATACAGCTTATTGTAGCACTTCAAGCGGCTGGATTTTTACTAGAGCCATTGTATGAGGAGAGTGGTGGAGTAGAAAAGGAGAGACAGAGAGAGAGAAGAGGAGAGAGAGAGAGAAGAGAGATGAGAGAGAGGAGAGAGAGAGAGAGAGAGAGAGAGAGAGAGAGAGAGAGAGAGAGAGAGAGAGAGAGAGAGAGAGAGAGAGAGAGAGAGAGAGAGAGAGAGAGAGAGAGAGAGAGAGAGAGAGAGAGAGAGAGAGAGAGAGAGAGAGAGAGAGAGAGAGAGAGAGAGAGAGAGCAGAGAGAGAAGAAAGATTACGGTTGTCTTTTTTTTTATTATCATTATTATAAGCGTGTGTGTAGTGCATGACTGAGTATGTGGGCGTTATTATAAGTCTGTGTATGTACGCATGCGAATGTTAGCGTGCGCGTGTGTATACCTGTTGCTTTAATCTGTTATCATCGAAGGCTGCGTCCGGACGCCCAGTCTCGAGAGCGGCCTTCCACGGCGACTGCACCAACACGAGGCTGGACTCCCGGTCTTTTAGGAACTTCTCCTGCTCGCGAACCAATATGGCGGCGAGTTTAGTGAACCGAAACAAGTGTCGTTCATGGACCAAGGTAAAAGGAACCGCTCACCAATTGTCATGGTTCTTTCATTAGATCAATTGATTCATTCGTTTATGTACTTTAGTTTGATTCTCGTAAGCAAGACAAGAAAATTTACCAAGAAAGACTGCGACTCCACGACCATGACAGACATACTCACACAACGCCACGACGTCCAGGGTAAACTCACGGTCATGATGCTACCATGATTGGCATAATTCAGCTATAGTCTAAGGTGTGTTTACCTTTTATGAAACCTGATAGTTTTTCCTATGACGAAATTCAAAGATACTGATGCTGACACTAACAATAAAATGCCGCGGTGTTTGGCCCGCAGGCAATGGAGAGTTTTCAATGTACTTTGACCGCAATGCCATTCATTCCATTTGAGGAAACCATTGTGGTCATTATCAAGATAATCATCAGTATCCTCCATGTAGTTGGAACTCATTAATTGTAACGCCTCCAAGCATACAAACTCGCTCCCTAACTCACTAACTCACCATGATCTGCTCCTGCTGTCGGTTCCTCTCCATCTC